AGTTAGTTCAAGTGTTTGTAGAAAAACAATAGCTAAGCAAATGGTACGAAGTAATGTTTATGTAGGGTGTGAACCAGGCGGGCGGAGCCGTGTGTGGTGGCCGGAGCCGTGTGGAGAAAATATGGAGAGTGGAGAGGGAGAAAGAGAGAGCTTCGGGTATTAGGAGTAGGTTTAGATCTACCTTGAATGATGAATGAAGTCATCTATTTATAGGAGCCTCGGGGCTAGGGTTTCGTAGAGAATATGCTGAGTTTATTCTCTACCCAAATTTGTAGGGATCGAGTCAGACTGAGATAATATCTGATTTAATGATATTATCTCTTTTTATGGAGATAATATCTGAATTAAATGATATTATCTCTTTTTATGAAGATAATATCTGAGATAATGACATTATCTTCTCTTTATTCTGATAATATCTTAATTAATGATATTATCTTATTAAATAAAGATAATATCATGTTAATTAAGATATTTATCCCAATTAATTAATTGGCCAGATAAACTGGTTCAATTAATTAATTAAAAGAGATAATCTTCTTTTCCACGTGGGGCGTTGTGATTGGAGACGAAAATATCTGCTCCCACAGTATCTTTCTTATTTCATTTTGCTTTGCCATTTCTGGTTCATTTTTTTTGTTAGTATGTGGATCAATGTGTTTGTCTTTTTTGTTTATTGTCATCTGGGTTCATTTTACAAAATAAACTACATTGTCCTTTTACTTCATTTTTTGGAATATGCCATTGTTTTTTCATTTTTTGGAATTTATATGTCTTTGATTGTTGGATTCATCCCAGTACACTTGTTCTTGGCAATGGGGGTCCTTAATTCTCTGTTTTGATCTTAATTCTTCATTTGGGTATGATCTAGTTGTATAATTCTGCAACTTGATCAACCCCATTGAATTATTTGACTTTCTGTTAGGTTTGACTTCTTTTTGCTGATGGATCTCGGCTTCATTGTGCCGAATTCGGGTTCTTTTCTTGTCTTTTTATTTAGAAGGAGCAGATGATTTAAGACTCTGCTCTTGTGTTGCTATTGGCAGAGTTTTATTTAACTTGGAGTTGGAACTCAAATCATTAAATTAAAGAATTTGTGATTTTGATACTTTTGTTCTCATCTTAATAAACTAAAACCGATCCAAGAATTTTGCAGTGCAAATGTTTGAGTTTATTGTTTTTAAGATTGAAGTTCATTAATTATGTTTATTTTGAGCTCAGTTCTTCTCTAGAATTTTAAGTTCTTGATTGCCTTGTTTCAGCTACTTGATGCATAAAAAAATTTGGAATTTTTTATTTATCCACATTCTATTACTTGGAGGAGGTATACAATGTACACACATGCTACTTGGTCCTCCAATGTAATCTTGAAAATTGTCTCAGTTTTCCTATGTTATTTCTACATCTTAATAAACCCCTATTCTCTGTACACTCATTAGTTCAGAGAAAATCCTCAATTTGGTCTACTTTGTTATTTCTGGCTTCAGGGTTTTACCAGAATTGGCTTCTTCATACTTTTCCTGCCTTAATTTGATTGTACTTTTATTACTGAAGTATTGCGGTTTATCTATAATCACTTCCCAAGTTTGCAAAAGGAGGTAATTAATTGCCACTGAAGTTCTTGTTCAAGGTTTGATAGGATTGCTGTATAACTTCAATGTAATTTAAAAGGAGGTAATTACTGCCTTGCTTAAGTGACACTCTGACACTAAACCACCTTAACTATATTCTGTTCTTTCTTCTTGCCAGCACATTATAGGAAGAACAGATGTTGAGATTTTTACTGGGGTCGGCGTTAAGGAATCTCAAGACTTCAAGGAGGTTCTGGAAAAAAGGTTACATGCAAAAAGGGAGACTACATTTGAGACACCATTATTTGGGTCAAAAACATTTTTGATATATGTGGAGCCTGTCTTCAGCAAGGCAGGAGAGACATTTGGTATAAATTGCATGGGGATGGATGTAACTGATCAGATATTTGCATTTTGTATGTTTCAGAGTTCAATTCAAGACTTTTCTTTTGATCACTAAAGGGTATTTGTGTTTCTTCTGCACAAACAACAGGCGAGGAAAAGAGAAAAGATGGCAAAGCTTAGGGAGGAAATCGCCGTCCAAAAAGCCAAGGAAACAGAACTGAACAAAACAATTCACATCACAGAGGAGACAATGCGAGCAAAGCAAATGCTGGCAACAATGTCTCATGAGATAAGATCACCTCTTTCCGGGGTTGTGAGCATGGCTGAGATACTTACCACCACGAAACTTGATAGAGAGCAACGACAGCTTTTGGATGTCATGTTATCTTCAGGAGATTTGGTCCTTCAACTGATAAACGACATCCTTGACCTTTCCAAGGTGGAGTCAGGAGTAATGAAGTTGGAAGCTACCAAGTTCCGGCCAAGAGAAGTAGTGAAGCATGTACTACAGACTGATATGTGGTTCTTTTCGTTGGGGCGAGATGGTGGCGGAGGGGGGGGCCCCTGCCGAGGTGGCGGTTGAGGTGGCGGCCACTACCGAGGTGGCAGAAATGCTGGATGCCGAGGCAGCAGTCATAGAGGTGCCAGCCACTGAGAAGGCCGCCGCGGACATGCCAGATGACGAGGTCCTTGCCGTGGAACCAACGCGGGCCGCCTTGGCTTCCCTTCGGCTGTCTCTGCCATGCCTACCTTGGCCGTTACCGCGTCTGTCGAGCCGTTTCCATTGCCTCCTCGTCATCCAAGCGGCATTATGATCTGCTCGGTAAGTGTTTGCTTCCACTATACTTTGTTCTACTTTTAGAATTGCGCCACATGCTTTTGATCAAATTTTTTGCTTCCAGCCTCCCCAGTCGTCGCTGCCGCTATCCATGGCTGCTGTGAGCATGCCCCCAGCGCCGTTGTCCCCGGACTCGACGGTAGTGACTGAGCTTGCGGTGGTCGAGGCGATAGCTACTGAAGCGCCGAGCCGGCCGCCTGTCTCTTCAATGGTCCTGATCGAGCTTGTGGCTGCAGAAGTTCTCGGCGCGCCGCCGGCCACTGAAGTAAGTATTTAGATTTTCACCTTGTATTTCCTCATGTCCCAGCTGGTTGTTTTCCATTCAAATCTCCTTTTCCATTTTCAGGAGACCACCTCTTCCAATGATCTCGATGAGTTATACGCCAGCCTCCATGAAGAAAGAGGCAGCTCGGCCTTGGCTCCTTTGGACGAA